GTAAAGCAGAATTCTTGCACAATATTGGCCAGGGGAGTCACGTGACTGATGAGATCATCGTATGCCGAGGTCCTTGACCGCTCGTATGACCCTGCTAAGCCCCGGCCTCGTCGGCGCCAACCACAGCTGTGTTCACCTGTTGGTCCGTGAGCCAGACTGGAATACACCTGTCCTCCGGTATTGTTTCAGACGTGCCTCCATTTAGAGAGGTCCTCTTTATCATTTTTTTTTAACTTGGCAGTTTTCCCTCTAGGGTGGATATGGGTAATTGCATCTACGTATTGCAGCTTCCCGTGCGCCTTGACTCGCCTACACATGCCTGCATCGGTGAACAAAATACCCGAGGTGTGTGAGTAAAATGCCCAGCGTGCTGTTTACATTGGTGTCCGATCCCAAACAATTTAAGTCTAAGATTCCCCCACCACGCTCTCTATTTTCCTTGTACAAATTCCATTTGGGACAACTTCAGGAGTGTGAGTCAGTGTGAAGATTCTACCGAGAGAAATACCGCGAATTCCAAAAGTCGATCTTGCGTTTTTTTCTCTGCCTCGAATGTGGTGTCGATGTTGGAGTGATCAGATCAGGGCACCGATTGAATCTTACGAGTATGGTGCAAACGAGAACGACAGGACCAGAACGGTGGAATTCCAGCTCACGATCGGAATAGTAAATTGAGCTGTGGATCCCGGCCGCGTGCATTTTACACACTGTATCGGTTGTTCCGCGCGCTCCTCGGCCAATTACCGAGCAGTGGGGGAGCCGGCCCTGCCCGAGATTCGATCACAGCTGCCCGGTCAAAAGAGGGCGAGGCACGCTGCCAGTCCGTTTCGATTGACGGTCGGTGATATCGAAGGGTATGGGTTCGGTCTGTAAGCTGGCTCCCCCCTCATCACGGCCCGGACGAGGCTCGAAGAGACCCCATGCGGGCCAAGAATTCGGGGCTCGGGCGGGGACCTGCGGAGCAGTGGCCAGGTTTTTTTTTTTTTTTTGGTCACTCTGTTCAGATTGACCTGTTAAGCGATAGCTCCACATCTGTGTAAATACCGTGTCCCACAGCGAGGTTGATAACTCAGAAAGGTACACAGCACAGCACTTATTACACCTAGACTGGGCCGGTGGCCGCTAAAACACTGCCAAAGTTTTCCTTGTAGCCACTGTTGTCAAAATTCCTTTCTTTGTTTTTTTAAACAATATGTATCCCATATTTTACTTCACAAATGTTCGTTCAGTTGCTCTTTGCTCTTACATGCTCTCCTTACCGAGAGACACATTGCTGGCGAATGACCAACGAATCAGTGCACCGTTTCGGCTTGATTTTCTGTCGTCACCCCGTTTCGGTCTTGAGGATAGATTGGCCATGTGAGGGCGCTATTCAAAGATCCCTTTGTGTCGCTTTGACAAACCCGTCCACTTCGGTTCCACTTTTCTTTTGTGACTGTTTGGAGTTAAAGTCTGGCCTACTCGGAAACAAGCGATTTCAATGGGGAACGTTTTCTTGTCCGAATGTGTTACAAGCAAGCTTTTTTGAAAGCTAAGATTTCAATCAGCAAGACTTGTCGCAATGAAATCCAAGTTTGATCTCTTCTGTGAATTTAAACAGACTCTCCTCCGTCATGCGAAGTTTCACCTAAATTAGCGTTGACGGGTACCGCTTGGGCTCCACATCAACCCCCTGCCAATTGGCCAGCGCTTGTTACAGTCGTAATTACCCATTTCATGTGCCGTTCGCATCACCCTACTCTCATCAAACCTGAACCCCCCCCCCCTCGGTAATCCTACATCACTCGAGTCATGTTGAATTACGAGGGGAGATGGATCAAGTCTGGTTCCGGACTTGCTGACGAGGGTCGGCCAGTCTCCGGGGACTGCCGTCTTTCATTTCATAACTGGACGCTTTGTATTAAACAGCAGTGAAGTGTTCTCGGGACGAGGTTGAATGCTCGGTTGGAGGCGTGAACTGTTCCCTTTCGCCAAGTTAATTTGATTTTGCTCAATGTATTCTTTTTCTCCTGTGACTTAGAAGTTAATAAAGAGAGACAGACGTCAAGAAGCCCTTTTGCGAGTTAAATTTGATTAAAATCTGTTGCCTGAATTCTTTAAATTCACGTGAGCATAACAAATGTAGTTCTCCATACTAAGACACTGTGGCTATACCTCCGTTATTCGGGGCAAACGTTTGCTAAGTTACACAAGAGACGCCTGGCAATAATACACTGTTTTCAATGGATTCAAAGGGCACTAAGGAAGTAAGGTCCATTCCAGAGATGGTGGTCCCCCAGCTTTCCCTGAACCGAGATATATATGTATAGCCCTCTGAACCCCAAGGTATAGCAACAGTGTCTTAGTCTGGGGAATTTAAATTATGTTTATGTGCAACCGTATAACTCAGTGTAGCAGGTTTTCTTCAATTTAACAAGAAAGTTCATTTTGGCAGTCATTTTTTAATGTGAAATCATTTCCTTTTAGTGAACCAACTCCCAAATCTCTCAACAATTCCGAATAATTGTGTCTGGAGAAATAGTTGCTCTTGACTCGAAATGTTGGCACTCTGGTTTTTTTTTAGTACTTTTCAGCCGCCAGTTACGCTGCTTCGACAGCTCGATGGATTAAAGTAACGATGGATAGAACACCTATTGGGTGCAGGTGACGGAGCAAATTTAACATGACATCGCTTGCCTTACTTTGTTTTGTTTATGTTATAGTCTTTGCCAATTTATGCGAATTTTGGATATGGTTAGTTTCTACCCAGGCTCTGGATGCACTTATCTCTTCTTGGCAATTCCCTGAGCCCTGACATCTTCTTAAGACCTGGAGATAATTATTTCGCGGTCTTAGATCATAGGGACTAGTGGTAAGATCGCGGACTCAACGCCCGCTGTCAGTCGAGACCCCGCCTCTATTCCTCTGTAATCACGGGGCAGTAGTGTTATATTCCCCCCTTCTAATCTCAACCCTCCTGGTTTCCTTCCAACCCGCTTCTTTTCCATCTGCGGAGTCCCCCTTCTCGTAGCCTGATCAGAAATAAATCACCAGGCTTGTAATTAAACGGAATTAGCAATTAAATCCCGCACTGGGTATCTGTATATCCGCGCAGGCGTATATCTTAATCTTAAGCATGAACCAGGCAGCGAACATGCGTGCCCTCTGGCTCAGCGTATCATAAGAACAAGAGAAAAAAAAAGGCCACCCCAAGGTGGGAATAACAGGAAAACCAAAGAGAGGCGAGAAAAAGCAAGGAGAGAATGATTGATAAGTTTACTGATATCCTCTTAATCGTCAGGCTTCACCCTCCTAGGTGTACTCTAGACCGTTGGCCGAGGGGCGAAGCGAGCCGGGCGATACATCACCGGCTGTCAATCCGATCGGGATGCTTCCGGCACCTACCGTCTGTCCGCGGTGCCAACCACCTGCTTGGTGTTACTGATGAATCTCTCTCTCTCTTTCCCTCTGTGCAAAGCCAGCACTCCGTTCCCTTGCACTCCCAGTAGACCCCCCCCCCTAAATAAAACCCCAACTCATCATCGGGCCACGGCATCGTCGGCATCATCATGATCGAATTTTCCGAGGATGATGAGTGGATAACCCAAAACACCTGCCTGACTCGTCTCTCCTTAGGCCCCCATCCTTCATCCCGGCTCGGCTCCGTGTTTGTCTTGTCTTACAACTCCTCTGTCTCCTTGTTTCGAAGCATCACCTCCCCCATCAACTGAGAAATCTGCTCTTGCCCCGCCCACCCCTGCTCCAGACCTTACTTGAAGTTCCCCTCTGTTTTGTTATTCCAAGTACGCGTACCTCTGACCTCTGCACTATCAACGAATCTGCTCATTGCATTTCCATGATCTCTTTGAATTTTAAATGCTAAAAAACATGTTTTTTTCTCCCCAGGGCAAAGTCTAAGAACGGAGGAAGATATCTGAGGGAAAGACTAGAAAAAATTGGCTTGAATCTCCCCGCTGGAAGGAGAAAAGCCGCTAATGTTACTTTGTTTACGTCATTAGTTGAAGGTAAGCCGATTACGTTTTCCATAAATGAACTCATCTGTATCCCAGAACTTGTTATATTCACCTCTATAACTTCAAATACGCATTAAATATTGAAGCACATTTTCTTTTTTTGGTGATTGGGGGCATTGGAGTGTTTTGAGTAAAGTTCAAACAATGGAAATTCTGAAACCCTATACTGGATATTGCCAATTCTAAAAAAAGGAATGCGATTTCAAATCGAAGCTGTTCTACACGTGGTTTAGTTCAACGTGTAATTAACTTGAAGTGAAGGGGCGGCAGACATCAGGCAGCGAGCCGCCACGCGCCGGTATGATTGCGGGTAGATTAACCATTGATTTCGGCTGAGTCCGACATCAAGGGGGCACTCGGCCGTGACTTCCACCCCTCGCCATTTTGCAAGATACACAGCTAATTTTCAAGTCAACCGACGAACGAGTGACCTTGACTGCGCATTCTGAGTGCCTCTGTCGTTTGTATTATATGGTGGGGGTCGCGCGTGTGCGTGTGTGACAGAGTCACGGCGGGAAACGCTCCTGGTGACGTATTTAATGGACCGACCATGGACCGGCCTGCTGCACTCTCGCCTCCTATGTTCGATTGTCTGCTAGCCTTGACTTGTGGCGTGTGTGATCGGTTAACGCGGCGAGCCGGCACGGGCCAGAGTTGTGTCCACGTCCAAACTCATCGATACTGGCTTCCTGCAATCTCGCCCGAGACATCGTTCGACGGGCGTCGCCTCGCCTACCATTTACCGGCGTCCGGCGTGCGATGCTACGGGCTCATTTGAGTCCGGAAACGCACGGTTCTCTGGTCACGGCACAACTATCCTAAATGCACCTGAAGATAAAAGTGCAAGAAGGCGTACGGGGAGGCAGCGTGCACTGACAGTACAATTCGCCGTTATTAGATCCACCATGAATGGAAAAGTATGGCTTGTCTCGGATATCTCTGGACCGACAAAAAGTGACACATTGTAAACAATAACTTCCAGTGGGCAAATACAAACGCCCATACCATTGTGGAGCATGAAATCTACGTGAAGAGCGTTGTTATTTCATCTCTACCCTACTTCAAGTGAACAAAAAGTTCATTAAACTCGTACAAGATAAACTCCACTGCTCTCTCACATAATAATGTCCATTTTCCATGTATAATGTTGAACTTGTAAAACAAGACCAAAATCGCCACATATTTGGACGGGTGTTGGCTCATTTGTAAATCTGGAACATGAAAACATGTTGTCAGTTTCTCATCCTGACTTCATGAAAGCTCAAACCTTCGTTTCGTCTCAATTAATAGCCCTTTGCAAGGTATAGTTAGGCTTGCTGTCAGGCTAACGTGTCATGACTTTTACAGAATACAATTTCCTCAAAACCGTGTGTAGAGCAACTGCAAGAGCCTTTAACATGATAACCTAATTTAATTATCTTTGGAACAGTAGTTCTCCTTTGCTGTTTGGAATCTTGCATCTGTAATTCGTTAGCCCCTCCAGCTAAGAAAGTCTTCAATTAGGAATGCTTCACCAATCATCCCCTACTCCATCCATTCTAGGGCCTTTCACATTTACCCCCATAATTCTGGGGGCTATACGCGTTCCGACATCCCATCACCTTGCGGGACCAGGAAGCCATGTGCGTGCAGCCAACCGTGGCCGCTGTGGGCTACAAAATGCTCCCCACCATGTTATGTGTGTGTGGGGGGGGGTAGGGGAGTTACCTCCTGCACATTCTTGTCTGTCTGAGATTCCCCCCCCCCGGGCTACGCCTCGGGGATGGGTTGCATCCTCCGTGACGAAGTTGGCAGTTGAAGTCGACGATATCTGTCATATGACTTAGGCAGCAGGATATGACGGGATACTGGCGCACAGCAGGGACAATTTAAGAGATGAAGATCCCGTCGGATCTCAAGTAGATTTCCTCCACCACGAGGGCGCCTTAGGAACTTTCTGGTTGACATTTATGCGCACGGGTTGGATCTTGCTGTGTGATGCCATCATCTTGGCTCCTTCTTTAGTATTATTTTAGATATAAGAGTCACGAGAGTCGGGCTCACTGAACTGGGACGACACGGCTACTTCTCTAGAGTCAAGTTGCGGAGCAGAAAAGACCGACTGAAAGTATCTGACCACTCATTCAAAGCGTGCACACGATTCACGAGAGATTTTTTTCTGATCAACGATGTATAAGTTGTGATAGTTGCCCGGAGAACACGGAAAGACAGGCGAGACAGCAAACAGCACAACTACGGCCCTAGGCATGCCAGCTCCTGGACAAAGACCCGCGCCATGTTTTTTTTTTACCAGCTGCCAAACATTTGGCCCAGCCCTTTGCGCCAAGTGCGCGGAAACTCCAATTTATGATTTAACAGGCACATTGCGATTTTGATACAGTGACAATGTAATCAATGTCCAGCTAATTGGTTCTTTTTTACCGTTGGAGTTCACAGACAGCGCCAACCCTGGAGGAATGTTACATTATAGAAGCATCACGCATTTTGATTTTACTCGGACAGCTCAGGGATTAGTGGAAACCGGAGAAATAGCAACGACAAAAACTCCAATTGGCGAGGCTGACGAACGTCGATGAACTTGCGGCAACTATTGTTCTTTGCACCTGTTTGCGACCCCCAAAAATTAACTCTGCAAATCTCGAAAGACTTAACCAATTAAGCCGACATTAGCATACGAATGCTGTCATCTCTATGTTGATTCGGCATCTGTCAATTCCCACGGCATCCCGTTGTTCTGGTTACTTCGCCGGCGAATAAATTAATATCAATAGGTCCGGGTGCTGGGACACGCAGTTCTCGTGATCAATTACTAATCGATAACCGGGTTGACGATAATAATTACTGGGACACTTGGGCACAATAGAGTTGGCAATACGATAAGCCCAACATTGCGCCGAACCGGATCCCTGGAAATGCATACGCCTTGTTATCAAAATGTGTTATGAAAATGGAAAAAAAATGACTGAGGATATTTTGAGATTATTTCGTTGCCTTTGGGCTGATGCGTACTATGCGACCCTCGCCTTGTCCATACTTTTTTTCTTTTAGCTTGAGTTAAAACATATCTTGCCATCCCTAAAATTGCTGAGATGAAAATCATCTCTAATCATACCCTCTGGCCGGCACTCGATGCGAAAAAAAATGCAAAGCAAGCTACGCTCGGTTGATCTCTTCATTTTTCTGGCACTCAAAGATAATATACCGCAAAAGCTTGGTCAAGTATTTTTCCAAACGTCCCGCTGTAACTCCTCAGCCAACAAAGGCGCTGCGTGTGTTTCTGGCATCGGTCAGCTTTCCCTCCCTCTTTCTCCTTAGCGGTCATTTTGACTGGATTGTATTTCCCCCCTCTTGACTCGGATGTCCCGGTAAAATCCTGGCTTCGTCATGCCCTCTCCAGCCCGCCCGTTTGTGTAAGACGACCGCTCGGGAAGTTACAGGATTTCAACGGGGCCGCACGCCGGTCAGCGGCGGAGGGGAAGACCCGCGATCCCTGGCCCGCCTCGCGGAGGAAATGCGCCCGGTCGGATCCCGCGTCCCAGGCCTACAGTCCGCCGATCGATACTTTCTTTTCCCCTGACCTCTTCACGTTGGAGGTTTATCTCCTCTCGGTTGTTGGAGGAGCAGCTAGCGAGATGACTCAAGGATGACATCGAGGGCATTCAACTGGAGTGGCAAAGAAAGAAGATCGGGCATCGTGGGCAGGTGGTCCTGTCTTTTTGCCATGCTGGACTTTTGCAGGCAAACCCGAAGTAGCTGAAGGAGACATCAAATGATATATATCAAGGGTTGTTACGGGATGAAAAAAAAACTTTAATAAAATGTCTGCAACAAAATATCTACGTATTGAAATAGGTAGATCAAAGTGAAACTCTGATAGTGGTGTATCTTAACCAGACCGGACACAAGACCAGTTATAAGACCCCAAAAGCACCACTCACAGGGCCACTCTTAAGAAACAGAGCGAACAAAGACAAAGGAATGCTTTTTGGGCAGTTCATTTGAATAGTTTTTCGGGTTTAATTCAGACCGGTCTTGTGATGGTCTTGTGATGGTCTTGTGATAGTCTTGTGATGGTCTTGTGATAGTCTTGTGTTGGTCTTAAGAAGTCGCTGCTTCATCAATGAACTGTTATCGTGACTGTATTAAGTTTCTTGAGCAGTCTAGTCTGTCAACAGCAGAGTCATTAGCTTACCAACATCTCCTTTTGAAAGATTTGAATTGTCTAAGCTTACCCGAGAAAACAAATTCCACAATTATTTCTGGACAATTTCAATCATTCGTGTCAAAGCTCGCCTCAAGCGAACAGCCAGTTTTCCGAGGCTGGGTAGATTTTTTTTATATATATAACAGTTGTAAAAAAGTTGATTATAAAAAACTCTGCTTCATAACAAGTGTCACTCACTTGAGATTAACTTTAGGGACGAAGATTTCTGGATGAGTGATTGTTTACTTGTAACCATGGCAACTTATTTGGCTCATTTGTTCCCCACTCACACGGGAAGGTTGTGGGGGGGGGGGAGGAAATGACATAATTGCCCCAGGCAAGATGTCGTGCCGGGCTACATTGCCTGGTCATTTTCAATCGTGAAGGGTATTTCTACTTGCGGTTCTTTCTACCCTGGCTTTCTTTTGTATTTGGTGACCCTCTGTCGGGCCCACACGCACCTATACCCCCAGCAGGTACCAAGCCCCCCTACCCAGCGGCCGGCCTCGCCTCCCGTCACCGCACGGCGCGCATTCACCTTGCCCGCTCCTCTGGAAACAGGGGGGGAAAAGTGCACATCGGTAGGCGTTTGACTCACAATGCTTCGATTAGCTGTCATTGGCAGCAGTTTTGATGAAATATGATTAGGGTTATTTCCAACTGATTGGTTCCCGGCAGCTAGTTCTCCTTTGAACTTATAGTCTTCCTCCTGTAGCTAGGGCCATCCCCCCCTCCCATTGTATCGTTAAGATGACAACGGCCGTGTATTCTTGTATCGTCGTAGTGT